TTCCAATGATTAGATTTCATATTCTCCATACTTTTCATATTTTTGTTTCTATATTCTCTGTCATATTGAAATTGTGCACTCTTGAGACTGCTTCTAAAACTGCATTGCTTGAACTCTAATCTTATCAGATGTAAAAATTTGTTTTCCTTTATCAATCTGAATATGCCTTCAGATAACTGTTTTTATTGTCTGGCATATATTATTTTGCCTTTATCTGTATTTATGGCAAGATATATAAGACATGAAGAAATACACACTGCAGTTGTCCGAATGAATAAATCTAGTTGAAAATCATAGTGATCAATTCTGTAACCGAATAATATTCTTTTGATTCCTGTATGAAACAGGATTTTAGTATTTTCATAGCATTAAAATTGTAGGGGTTTTTTTTTGTATAAAGCATTTTCCAAATCTGTTTGTAGCTTGAATCTTCATTCTGCCAATGCCCTATATTTAAACAAATCCTGCAATGAGTCTCTAAAATCATGCTATTAAATAAACAAAAAAAAATCCAACATTTATTCTTATTTGTTTCCTGAATGTAGAGACTCCTAGGATTGTATGTTTTTTCTCTACAACCAGTTTCTAGGATGGTTAGGAACTCTTTGTTTGTCTATTTGCTTGCTTGTTTGTTTATTTAAAAGTAAAAGCTGCAATTTACAGGTATTCACATAATTCCTGATGAATTGTGTGAATGTTTTCATGCAGAAAACCAGCTATTTTTCTCAAACTCATAACTATGAAGCTATGAGAAGAAAGAGTAACATGAAATTCCAAAATTAATCCAAGGAACTGCAACTTTTTTCCAAAGGTTATCTATACAACAACTACCAGGAGTAACTGAAATATCTCAAACAATACCTTGTATCAGAGAAATCCGAATGTGTTTAGATTATTCTGTTTATTAATTGTCAGAACACTATGAAGTTCTAATTTGACTATTTGAAATACTATTACAAAATTATGAAAGGGGGGGAATTAATACCTGTTCTCAACAGAATTCTAAAAGAGAAAAAGATGGTCCACAGAGCTTGTTAGCCAGATCAGTATAAATGTATGTCAATAAATTCTGAAATGGTTAGATGTCCTTCACTGCACATAACAGTAATATCCCCTAGGCCACAGCTGCAGCATGAGCTTAACTCAGAACTCAAGGCTGTACCTAAAGCTCATCAACAGAGAAATACACTGCAGAGGATTTCAGTAAGCATGAAATGCCAGCATGCCTGTCTACCTTTGAACCAGCATTTGGTACTTGAGTCATTGGGTTATTTCACAGAAACAGTAATCAAAGAGAATTACAGCATTGTAGGGGCTACATCACATCCCCAGTTGGTGCCTGCAGTCTACAAGTGTTACGAGGCACTGGGTGCTGGCATTCCCTCAAATAGAGTTTTTTCAATGTATCTTATGCTTCTTCACATCTATTGTACCTGCCCTACATAAAAGATGACAAGTGCCTATTGTATACATCCCTCAGTGGTGAACATGGTGTGCAGACAGAGTGAATGAGCTTTTACAGGGGCTGAAGGGCAGGTAAGCTGAACATCCTGGGGACTAGACCTACCTTCTCAGTGAACATGGCCATCATGCCCATATAAGAATCCCACTGATTCCTTCAGGCTCAGTTGCCTTCATGCCCTCCACCCATTCAGAACAAGTTTTAGCTCTTAGCTCTCATTAAGCAAAACAGTGAATAATAACTAGAACTATTGCTATTACTATAACTTAAGGTACAAAACTGGTAAAGGACAATAGAGGAATTTTGTTTAATTCTAGAAAGTTGTGCATTTAAATATTTACTACAAGTAAACGCACCAAGTGGAAACTTCCCCTGCCAAATATTTTTTTCTTACTGGCTAGCTCCTACTGTGTCTGTCTCAGCATGTGAGAGCTTATCCAACGAATATATAGTACTAAGTATCTTTTGCAAGTGAGTTAAATACTGTCCCTGTCTTTCTGCTTCACTACATTTGTTTTGATCCTTCCTGAAAAGACTAGCAATCTTTACCATACTTAGGACATCAAAATTGCAGCCCAAGATACCAAATATAAGGTGGTCAACTTAATAGCAAACATATATCCAAAAATGCTGGCTGGCCAGGTTTTTAAATTAATTCAGCTAAATTTCAGTAATTTTTTTCCCTTCAGGATATTACAGAAAACTGGGCAAATACATACAATAAACTTTGTCAAGTAAGGATTACCATTGAAAACATAATCTAAGTTGCTTTCAGGGAGAGACAAGGATTTCAGGACCAATTGCTGCCTCTGTCTCTCTTCCACTACCTCTGAGATCAAACAATCCCCGGCCTGTCTTGGTAGATGGTGACACTCCCCCCCCCCCCCCCCCCCCCCCCCCCCCCCCCCCCACTCCTGAAAATCACCCAGACATCATCGTTTGGATTTTGTTCATTTGTTGGTTTTTCTGTCTTTTTTTTTTCTTCCAAAAATCCCTCTGTGAACACTCTTAAGTGGAATGGGAAAAAATAAAGACCAGAACACCTTTTTTTTTAATTACTGAATTCAACCAGGTTAAAAAATTTAGAAACCTGCTAGTATGTAACATTACATAGAAAAACATACTATATTACCTAAGAACTACACAGCTATTTCTTAGTCCACAAATTGTCAGTAGCTTAGTTTTCAAGCACTATATTATAGTGTAGGAACAAGGTCTGGGAATCAGCATCTCAGCATCTTTCTAGATAGATTTCTACAGATGTCCTAAATCAAACTAGCACTGCAAATATTTAGGTTTTAAAAAGGCAAAATGTTTACTTTTATACCTCTAGCTTTTTGGAAGGCTGTCATAGCTCCTTCTATAGATCACTAAGTTCAAGTCCATCACCTCATCAGAGTGGACATATTTTTGGAGGAGCCATAATGCAATGCTGCCAACACTTGCAAGAATTTATATTTATCTTGCAGCCTCAAATTCCTGTAGCTGTCTGAAAACTCCATTGTTTTTGCCTAAAAGAACTTCGAGTCCCTGAAGGTTATCCAGAAAAATTAAATGTAACCAACACAACGTAGCATCTCTAAAAGCTAAGTACACAGACCTCAAGGAATATGTAGCCTTAAAACATCATTAACATTAAATTGACTGCACCTTCTGTCACAGTACCATGAGCTAGAGTTGCCTTGAAGTATGAATCCTTGTATGCCTTTTCTGCTTGGGGCTCTCCTTCTTCCCTTCGGTCTCTCCATCTCTCAGATGCTACTTTTGCAGGATATACTGGCAACGACAGCTGAGCAGCACACCATTACAACAACCTCATGAGTTCTGCTGTGAATCAGTCTTTGGGAGAAGCGTGCTGCATACAAGTGCATCTGCCTGAAGCACATGAAAAAATCAGAGTTCCTAGTACTTTATGCCAAGGTCATACATCCACCTATGAGTGTCCAGCTCCCCTTCATGCGGTGCTCTTTTATACAGTTTGCATGGCATCACATCACCATTAATCAGCTGTAAAAACTGGAGCCTGCCTCAGAGTGAAGGTAAGTGCACCAGGGTCTTCTCCTCAGTCCTGTTTCATTAACCTCTCTTAGCAGTATTTGTGGCTCGCTGGACTGGAAATCATTACGAACACTGAAAAGTTCAGAAAACTAGTTATTGTTGGTGAAGAAAGGTGAGCACCCAGGTTATTGTACCTCAAATCTGGATTTTGTGTTAATTCTTTTAGCCCCAGAGTTAACTCTCTCTCTCTGCATTTCAAAGTAGGCATTTCAAGGAAGGACTGAGATTCAAGTCAAAACTATGCATGGGATTTCCCAGGCATCTCATTTGCAACAAAAGAGCAATCCCACTTAAGCAAGTGGGAAGTGTGGACACGTGGAAGGGGAGCAGGCTTGCACTCCCTCACTCAGACCCTGCAGGAGCCAGGCCTCTGGGGCTGTGCTGTTACCTTACCCTAGAGACAGGTTCCATTCTCCAGGGCAGATGAATGGTATGTGTGGCATTAGCAGCACAAGGCATGCTGGGGCACCACATGGAGGGAAGCTGGCAACTGTGTGTAGCTGCTCTTGAAGAACCTGGAAATAAGGGTGAAAAATACACACTAAAAAACCAAAATGAACAAAACCAGGATTCTCTTCTGTTTGCATTGGGATGCTTAGCATGCAACCATTTCTTTGGCAAGTTTGCTACTGCCTCACTGTATCAAAAAGTCTTTGAGCTTTTCCTCCTCCCACCAAGAAGTTTCAAAACCCTAAACCAAATTAGGTGCTCCAAGTTTATTAGAATTAAAATTAAACGCAAACACAATGCAGAAAGCATAATTTCAACTGTTCCATGGGGGAAAAAGTGGCAAATTGAACATAATAAACAAAAATATAAATGTTCCTTATTCCCTCCTACTTGCCTAGTCTGGTTTAGAGAAAGCAAAGTGATTCAAGAGTAGTCTACAAACACCAGTCCTCTTCGAACAGCATGCAGTGCAAGTTAAACCCTATTAGCTCTAAAACCAAGACTCCCTAGACCAGGCACCTAAGCATCGGGATCCAAATGAATGTTATTAGGCATCTAAACATCCTCCTATTCCGTGTAATTTGGGGAGCTCCTGGCGCTAGGAGACCACAGGGTGCCTGCCTGAGAGGGTTAAAGAGGGTGATCCTGATCTGATGTGGATTCAGAACCCAACTTCGGTCCTTTCGCAGTATTATTAAGGCAGGAGGAAGGGCAGGCGGAGGAAGGGCGGGCCACGGCTCCGTCTGCAGCGCGCCTCGGCCGGGGTCAGACCCGCTCCGGGGGGGCCTCGCACCGGTTCTGCATCTCCGTCCCTCCCCGGCCCACGCCCGGGCTGCTCCAGGCAAACTCCTCGGGACATCGTCACTCTCCGTCGGCCAACTCCATCCCAGGCACTTCCCGGCGCAGCCTGCCCGGCTCCCCCGCAGCCGGGGCAAGGGACGGAGCCGCGCGTTGGGCTGCGTCCCCGGAGCAGCCCCCCAGCCGGCCCCCGCAGGGGCTGCCGTGCCGCCCGCCCCCCCTCAGCACTCACCATATTACAGATGGAGGCGATGTTTCTGACAGTCATTAGTCTAAAGGTTGCAGCGATCCCACACCGCCATCTTTATAAGGTGAAAACAGCCCCGCTCATGGTGGGAAGAGCGCAGGAAGGGATAGGGGGCGGCGGCGGCTCCTGCTCCGGGGCTGGGATAAAAGCAAGAGGAGGGGACTGCACCGGCACCCTTTACGCCCGCAGAGCAGCGAGAAGGACGGACCTTCCCGGCCTCCCCCCTCCGGGCGAGTGACCGGGAGCTTCAGCAGCGCGGGGAGAGCGGCCGCATCTCCGCTCCTTCCGCCTGTGCCTCTCGCACGGTCCGCAGGGCCCCGCGCTCCCGCTGGAGCGCTCAGCCGCGCCTCTGCGCCAGCCGGCACCGCGCTAATCTCTCCCTTCCTCCTCCTCCTCCTCTTCCTCCTCTCCCGGCGGCTGCCGTCGCCGCTCGCCGCTCCATCGCAGCGCCTCGCCCGCTGATCCGCTCTGACAGCGCCAGGGAAGGGAAGGGAAGGTCAGAGGCAGTGCCCGGCGCGGGGCACCCCAGCGGGCCCGGCGGGGCGGCCGCCGCCGCAGCCAATGCGCTGCGGGGCGAGGGGGCGCGCCCACCGCCCCTCCAGACGGGCTCTCCGAGAGGGGCCGTGGTGCTTTAGTCGCCGGGCCTGGAATGGCCACGGGGCTGAGAAACCCGGCCTTAGTGCCTACATAACCATACCGGCAGGCAGCAGGTGAAGGACAGGGAGGCAGAGTGCAGGCAGGAGGACGTAGATGTGTGACAGTGACGGCGGCACTGTACTTTGGGACATGATCACCCCACCTAACTAGAGGTACACAGGAGCCCAGGCACTTGAAAAATCCAGAACAGTAGGCTGGAATGTAATTTACTGCCCACAGTTGGTGCTTGGTATCGCCACTGATGCAGATAACATTTATCTTCACAAATGCAGTTTTGGGACTGTGTCCACACCACGTGTGCAAGGGTTCACTCACAAATTCACAACATGTGGCCTTTACACATGGTTAATGTAATAATCTCAGTTTCTTTGTAGGCCCGTGCCTTTTTCCAAGGTAGAGCAGTATGAGTATATTAAATTTACACATGTGATAATAGACACAATGTTGTTAAACAGCTAACTTGAGGTCACATAGCAAATCTTTGAGAGAAGCAAGAATAGATTTCAGCTAGGGCAATGTCATCTTAGAATTCCCCTTTGTTTAGCAGATGTTGCTTTTTTTCAGCAGGAGCTTAAGGCCCGTTTATTGTTCCCCTGCTATTCTGAGGAAATAATTTAGATGAAGAGAGAACATTTCTACAGCCACCTCTGCTCCTAACAGCCACTTGAAGTGTGGCATGTTCATGCTTGGCTATGCCTTTCATTTAATGATGCTAGAATAAAATAATTGCAGCCTATAGAGCCTGGATCCACAGGCTTTATTTGTACGGGAAACATTCTGAAGTCCCTATTTTTTTTTTAATTACCATTTCCAAAGAAGATCTATGATTACTAGTAAAATCTGGCACCAGCAGTAACATCTAAAGATAAATTCCTGCCCTGAGAATGCTGTTAGGTAAGTGGCCTTAATCCAGCTCACTGTGGACAAATGCCCACTTTATAAAAATGGTATCAAATTTGGCATTAGTTGGTATCCTGTTGACAGTTTCAGCAAAGAAACTCAAAATTGAGTTGTCACAGAGACAGAACTTTCTTTCCTCTCTCAGTTGGATTAGTTATATTAAATCACTGCAGACATTCAAAATACAGGATGGAGAAAGATTTTTGGACATAATGGAGTGAAGTCCTCAGGGCCACTAAACTGCTTCATAAATCCACAAATCACTATGCAAAATAGCCATCAAACAACATCACTGAGAAAAAAAATTCTTTGGTATAATTCTATTAAGCCCATGGTCTTACATTATGTGTGAATTTGATCCCAAGTGTTTAATTTGCTTAAACTCAGAGAACTGGATAACACATAATATGACAGGTTTTCTCAACATAACCAGAGAAAATGGGAGTTAAGCCAATGTGTCATGATTTAAGTAATCAAGGTCTGATTAGTTTCCAGTGCATATCTAAGTAGCCTGCAGAGACTGGACAGTACTGCACTGTACCTGGTTTTCAAAGTCTGATGCCTGTTATTACACAAGCCTAATCATGTATTCTTTGCTGCAGCCTGCTTATTCCAATTGACTGTGGAGAATCATACTTGCTATCAGTGAAAAGTTATGGAGCAAACAAATGGGTTTGAAAGGTCATTAAAAATTTAAATGAAACAAAATGCAGTATCTAATAAAGCCATTTGCCTCATATATTTTAATGTCAATATCATTATTTCCATAATACAAACTCCAGAGAAATAATAAAAAGTGTGAAAACAAAAAAGAAAAAATATTTTCATAATTCTGTTTTTTTCAGATGCCAATTATTTGACTTCAGAGTAGGTTTTCAGTTGTTTCTGTTTGTTAAACTTTTTTTTTGACACAAAATTAAATTGCTACTGATTAAGCACTTATTGGTTGTTCAACAAAATATTTGTAAACATGGACACACATAATTCTGTGAAAAAGTCAGTATCATATTTCTTAATGCTAATATAAATACTTTCATTTCAAGGTGGACACATTTCATGTCTTTTTTCTGAAGATTCATAATAAACATAGAGAATAATATACAAGTGTTTATGTGTCAGTTTGACAATAGTCTAGCACTGTCTTTTTTGCTCTTGAGACATATCAAAACAGGAAAGAAGAAAGAAACTTTCATGTCGGAAATGGACTGGTATCTGTTTTTGTTTTCTTCTGCTGTTGTCATTTTCAGGAATAGAGACTTTATTTCTGTAGCTGTTTGAAGATAAAAAAAGTGCTATGCAATGCAACAAATACTAGTTGCAAACTTTATAGGAATGGTATAAATAAAGAACAGTGCACAATTGTTTCCACTCTAAAGCATTGCCCTATCTCCTTACAACAAACAACCAGCCCTGTGTTTCTTCTGAGTGTTAGACAAAGAGAAGGAAAACAAAAGACTATTTATAACCTAAGAGTGCTTATATAATTTCTGTTGAAAGGTCAAAAAATACCTCCTGCATTTAATTTTAGATCCACCTTGGTCTCATCTGGTTTTACATTTGAACATTTCTATTTCACTACATAAAATATGGGCCTATTGTAAATATCCTCTTTGGCTAGTAGAGGTGTGGACTTCCATAACATTTTCCATCTGATTTTTTCAGAGTATTTTGCAAGCAAGTATTTTGCACTCAGAGTTGTCAAATTATTGGGTGGCATGTTAATATTAGCTTATTTTACAAAGCAAGAAAATTGCCAGCAGAAAATTAGTGACTTGTCCGAAGTTACACAGGAAAGTTGGTAGCAAATTTGAGACCGGAATATCTGCTCATTCTCTGCTACAAAGAGGATATTGCATTTCCTCTCCAGAAATCTTGGAAATTTCCACAGAGGGTTCATTTTTGTTTTTCTTGTAATGAACTTGGATCCAGAAGTGGATAATCATAAGTCAGTTTTGCTGAACGAATGTTTGGAACAGATCAAATTTGGGATATATTTCCATCCAATTAAAAGATCATTTTACTGGAAAAAGGAATTAAAACAATAGTAAGGTTTTCTGGAAGCATGGAAAATAGATAAGAATTATAAGACAATTCAGATATCTGAAATACTTGCAGTGCTGACAATGTAGGTTTAGAATTTTGCCATTTCTTAATGTTTTTTATCTAATATTAAATTATGTTCTACCAAAAAATTGCAAAATATCTTTAACAAAATGGCAAATGTGTAGGCACAAGAATGAGAAATCAGGATTTTCCATGAAGCTTGGCCTCGTTTCAGAACAGACTGGTGGCTACAATGCCAAATGCCAGCTTGCAGCCTATGGATTGAATCTGTGGCACATGGCTCATAGCAGGTCCATGGAAACCACTCCATCTGCACCTGAAATTCTAATGGTAAGAGTGAGTTGTAGTCCATGGAAAATTCATGTAAATCCACAGAAAATATGGAGAGTCTAAAACAAAAAAATCATCCCAACTTTGGAATTACTTTCTTCTTTAAGGTTACCATCTTCAAAGCAACCTCTACCCAACATTTTCAAATTATCTGAAAAATTATTTCTCTTCATTCAAAATACTGTAAAACTTAGTGTTTTGATGACAGTATGACTTGTCAGGATTCTAAAGATAAAGCATGGAAAATAAAACTGCATTAGATTGATCCCTAAATCTTGCCTACCTTTTGCTAGTTTAAGCATGTTGGCAAGTCGAGAATACCATCTCTTCATTTATCTCAGAAACTGATACTTTATAGAAGAAAACAAAACACATGTACAGCATCTGCCATCATCTTTTTTTGGCCAGATATCAGATCTGAGAGCCCAAAGACAACAGAATAAGACAGATGCAAATACATTGATGTCGATGTACCAAAACCTGACTGAGTAGATACCAAGGGTCTAATAGTTCTCTAGTGAAAGCCATTGAATTCTGTTCTGTGGAGAGGCTGTGAAAGCCTCTGCAGTCAGTCCAATGTCAATAATGTCCTAGAGCTGTGATTATCTCATATCTTACTCCTGCCCTTTTCCTTCTGCTTGAGTTTCAAATATACTGTATTAAGAGCTTGGAACAGTGACAATAAGAGAACTTCATGTATTGCTTCATCAGTTTAAATAATATTAACCCTCTCCACACTCACTACTCAATTAAAAATATTCCTACCTTTCTAGAAAGAAGAATCTTGAAGAATGGCCTCTTCATCAGGTATATTATTCAGCAAGAAAGCTCACTAGCAAACTTTACTGGCATTTTTCTTACCTATACAAAATGTGCTTTCAGGTGGAAAAATACTATTTAAATTCTAATCATACTTACTGGCTGGAAAGAGAGAACCGAAAATTTTAATCATGGAAATAATTTGCCAAACAAAAAGAGGCTTAATGAGCAAAAATAACAGAAAACTGAAGTTTTTACAGAAATATATTTTTATTTCTGCCTCTGAAAAGGAAACAATGATTCTGGCTTGCCTTCCTCTTCTCCAAAGATTTTGTTTATTATTTTTATTCTATTTTACAGGGTCTAGTTTTAAGTAACAAACATTCTGAAGACAAAAAAACCCCCAAAGGACAGATAAGCTGTAAGTAGCATTTAGTCTATTTTCAGCAAGAATTTAAAATAGCCTTTACATTTCATTGAATTGTGCATAAATTAATTAAATTATATTATCATCTCGAAGTTTTAACCAAATTACAAACACACTCACACACACATGTATGTATGTATATATACATAAAAGGCTATTATTACATTTTAGGATTCCAAACCTGACAATTATTTAATG